GGGGTTCCATTTCATAAGATGGAAACCAGCTCCCCATCGTTTGAACTTAGGGTAAGATATGATTATTTTAAATCCTGGTTTTATCAAGTCCTTAACAGTAAAAAGGATGAACTTAAGATAACATCCTATAAGGTGGTACTGAACACTGCTGAATAATTCAGTTGTTTGTTCTGGCAATGAAAATAAAAGGCTGTTTTATAAACAGGTCATGAACTTTTGGGGGAAAACCAAGATCTTTCAACTGAATAACTTGGGTTGGTTAAGATTTTGAGCAAATTAAGGGCAAATATCAGCATAGTTTTCAGTATTGCACAAAATGGGTATTCTATAAACATAAATTAAAAATGGATGTCCTAGATTTAAGTTACAGGAAAATCAAATTAACCATCGAGGCATATCTGGTGGCATCCTTAACCTTCTATGTTAATATTTGAGATCTTGCTCTGATATTTTAAAAGCAATGCTGCCCAGCCATCAATGAGTAACAAAGCTAATGTGCTTCTTCTCTGACTGTGCTAGGTGTGACTGAGTATATTTTTGTACAAGAAAGGAAGAATAAAAGAAGTTTCTAAACATATATCCCAAGTTCTTAAAACATGCCATTTGTGTTTGAGATTTCTTTCTTTCGGCAACTATAATAGCCTAAGTTAACTATTCCAATCTTTCTACAAAGCCGGGTGATAATGGCAGCCCAGCCACAGCAAAGAGGAAAGACAGAACAACTAGGTAAGGGAATGAAAATATGTGCTGGCTAGTTCTTCAGCTCAACGCAAGGAGTCCCTTTCACGCTTGGTCTCACATGAAAAGAAACAAAATTAGTCATCTTAGAATAGCAGCAATGCCTATTTCCAGAAGATTTATGTGAAAAAAAGAAAACCATTTCTTAATACTTTAAATGAAGAGATTTAGAAAGCAAACAATGACTCAAAGATCTTTTAGGCTAAGTGTTATTGTATTCATTAAGATGACTTTGTTTATAACTGCAGCTGTTTCCAAAATCCTTACATTTCTGTTGCCATGAATTGCTAGGGTTTTCCTCTAAGGTCAGGAGTTACCAAAAACAATAAACTAGGTTGAGGAGTCTAAAAAGAAGTAGTTCTGCCTTTTCCTTTTAAATTTTAAGGTGTAATTCTTGAAGACACGGAAACACCAAATTCAGCCTCCAGACAAAATGCTAAAAGTCTAACAAATCATGTGACCAAAGTTTTTTTCAACACAGTTGAATCTTTTTAAATTAAAGAAAGGATTTTTTAGCTGGAATTTTTCAAAAAGTGGCTAATACCTATTTTTTTAAATCTTCCTTTTGATGAGGAAGGAACACAGGTGTTTGAACTTGAAGTAGATGGTTTACATAGAAAATATGTATATAATTTTGATAACACTATAGTTATTCAGGGTGGCTGACTATCAAATTCTATTAAAATCCCATGAAGGGAAATCTCAAAACACTTATTATGCTCCACAATTATTGTAAACCAAACAATTTAAATAAGAGGAGGAGATAATGACATTAACTTTTTAACTTAAAGCAATCCTCTGTGGCATGATTTTAAAATATTCTCTTGGTCTGAAATTTATGTAAATTAAATTCATCTATCATTGGTTATTACCAGCCTAGCTACATTTAAAAAAAAAAACAGTTTTCTGTAACAATTAGTTCTTTAAAACACTGTGTTTTAATTAGGCCTGGGACATTATTAAACTAGCTATAAATATGTACAATATTTTATTTGGTATACCCAGATGTCTGAAAATCAACAAGAATGCCCTCGGAGTTTTTTCTTCAAAAATTCTTCTAATAAAAGCCTTTCATTCAAAGTTTTAATGTAATCTGAAGTAAGTACTCTTTTCAGATTCCATTATGTAAATACAAAAGAAATGGTCATTCATAACCAGACAGTAATAATTGGATCAGCGTATTTTAGCACTCATAGGAGAGAAGTCAGAGATAACCAATTTCTTCATTATATGAATGTCCATGGCCACACACACACAAAATCATGGCAGAGTTTGAATAAAACCTAGGTTAGTTATTTCTACCACATCACACAAGCATTTTACCCCACTTAATCCTCACCACAACTGCACAGTTTAGGTTCTATCATTATCCCATTTTACAGAGAGGGAAGGTTATATGGTTAGGCTGGTATTCAGTCAAGTAAGGATTAAAACTCAGACAAGTCTGACTCCAGAAACCATACTACCACCCATAATACTAAATTTTAAGAATAGGTAGATATGTTGTATTTATAAAGAAAACTCCAAATTCTAACATGTACCACCACCCTTTTAAGAATAACAAAATTATAACAAAACATGAAGGTTATAATTTGGAGTTCAAATAAGTCCTTTTCCAAACCCAAGTCAAGCATCAACTTCTCTACTGACAACTGCTGTATAGTGTTCAAAGTGCTGGCTGCCTTAGGAACAGAAATCCAAATGTGAGCTCTCAGCAAATTGCCACATATCCCAAGCCCTCCAGTGGCTAGGTAGAATCATATGACTAAGTTCTGCAATAAACTATTACTGCAAGTATGGTGCTGAAATTCTAGGAATGCTGTCTTTAAAAAGCAGTCGTAGCTTTTAGGAGGGCTCTTTGCCTGGATCCCCAGGTATCATTTTGGCTGGAGCTTCAGCAGCTCTCTTGGATCCTGAGGCAGCCCTGGGGTAGGAAGCTGCATGCTGTGGAGGGTGGAGGAGGAAAACAGGCGCCTGGGTTCACAAGGAGACCATGAAGCCTGTTTGCCATACGTGGACAGCCTCCCTCCAGATGTTACCTAATAGAGAAATAAGCCTTTATCTTGTATAAGCTGCTGTTATTTTTTTGTTAAATAAGCTGAACCCAATTCGAATTGATTTAGTTCAGACTCATACATATTTTATATTCCAAGGTTTATTGTAACTATGATGGAAAAGGTGAAAAAATAAATTATTTCTTTTATAATATTTGAGCAAACACATCTCCAAACCATAATTTTCATTCTCAACCCCTTTCTGGTACCTTTCAACTTTGGGAAAGGAAAAGGAGGGAAATGAAGCGGGAAGAAAAATGGAAAAAAGCACTCTGCCTCTCTGCCATGGCTCTGTGCGTCCTCTCCTCTCTTCTCCAGAGCTAGGTCCTGCCATTCTTCGAGGCCCAGCTCAGCGAAACTGTTTCCATCGGACCTTTGAATTCAGTGCATACTCCCTATGCCATCTGACAGCTATATAACATACAGCAACATCTTTTGCTTGACTTCTTAACTTTTACACTGTATTTCTTTGTCTATGTGTCATCTTCACAACGACCTGCATCATATTTCTTTGCACCCTTACAGCTACCAGAAAGCTACCTGTGTGGCAGCACCTCAATAAGTACTTTTGATTGATTAGTCATGTTAAGGTGAGATGGAAGATGAAGAGAGAAAAAAGAGCACAAGACTAAGGAGTGAGAATGTACAAACTCTTAGAAGTAAGAAAGCATAACAAAACGCTGAAGATTCCCCAGGGCAAGTTTGCCTTCACTGGACCTTACCAAAGAATTGGGCCTGTAGAACAAACACCGTGAACTGTTTGCTGTGCACACGGCCAGTGCAAAGCTTAACCTATACCTAACTGAGCTTGTTTTCCAAATAAGGGACAGCGTACTTTGCTTCAGTTACTCAGACAATTGCCTTAACCTCACTTTCTTAATTACCTTAGACATCTGACAGAGTAAGAGATCCAGCTTAGGAAACCATGTTTCCATAGTGAATGTATATGATTCCAAACCATATAATGAAAATTGGCTCCTAGCAAGATCATCTTTAACATATTATTCTGTCAATGTAAAAACATATAGAAAGTAACACTTGCACACATGCAATAATGACTTAAAATATTAATGCGTCTAAAATAAGTAGTTCGCGAGATCGTTTTCATTAAATAGACACTATTATCTCTCTTCTAAATCCCAATAATAATACAGCTTTGGGAAAAACATTACTACTTCTTTAAAAATAAGATATATTTTAAACTTATTTTGCAGAAGCTACATAAGTAAAAGCTCGGTAACACTGAAACATTAAAATCTGTATAGAAGTATATAGAATTAACACATTTAAACATATCACATGTTTAAAAGCTTTCTCTCCATTTAAATACATACAGTAAGTCAAGAACATTTTATACAGAAGCAATTGATATTTTGCCTAGACTCATGAACCAGTTTACACTCCACTGATTCTAATCTCAATTATTTGTACTACATATCTGCTAATAAGTTATGTACCTAAAAAGAAAGTTTCTAATTTATTTCCATGAATTCAGCATAGTTTTAGGGAAGATATAAGTAAAAATATTCAATTAACAGAAAATTCAGCTTCTTTCTCATTCTTTCATAACAAGTCTTTATTACATCATCTATTTAAAAATGATTAAAAATGATAAAATAGTATTGTCCTTATCATTATATTGGTTCTACTTATGAAAGCTGAACTATTTTTACATAGAATTTATAGTCTGCCTGTCAAAAAATATTTCATTTTCTTGCAAATTACTCATTAATTTCCCCATTTCAACTTTTTCACATAGATTTCTCAGAAGAAACCAAGATAGTAGCTTCTTTGACAATGAAATGTACAAAATAAATGACATGTCAACAAGTAAATTAGCATTCCCTTTCTGACCAGCTGGGTCATGTTTCCTTTTCAAAATCCTCAGTCCCATGATACAAAATATATAATCTAAAAGACCTCATTAAATGATCAATATATTGACATAACCTCTATAAGGAGACACATAGTGTTTTAATTGATTCCATGAATCCATTAAATGGAATATTAAACCCAAGTCCCCAATTTGTAAGATAAATTTTTCTTTATTAACTAATTTTCTCCCAGTTACGAATAATGGAGCATAAAAAAATTAAAACACTTTTATATATAACTAAACAGTAAAAGAAGCCCAATTTCACTAAATCTTTCATACAAATAATATCACAACAAAAGTTTTAATAGACAAGTTAAACCATGTTTACTTACCAGAAAACTCCCAAAGGCTGAATTAAATATTGCTGCTGCCTATAGAGAAAATAAATGGGGGGAAAAACTCGCTGAAGGTGAATAGGAAAAGCAAAAGCAAAGGTTATCATTGTCCCATCCCCCACCATTCAAAATCTTAAAACATTGACCCTATAAAGCAAAGTTAGTCACTGCTTACAAAAATTGCCAGTGGCCTATAGTTTACTAAGATAGATGAGCTGTAGGTTAGGAATTCATAAATAATGGGTCCCGAAAGCAAGCAGAAAAGGCGTGCATGAGATGCTCTGAACCTATATGACAGTACCAAAGAATTGTCACCAGTAGTAAATTGAAACCTTGTTGTTATTGATTTTACTACTAAAGTTAAAACAATCAGAGGGTGATTTATTCATAAGAAATTTCATATAACTGGGAAGTGAAAAACCAGAATTATATTAAGAAAACATTAACTACTCTCTATCAGGGAGCCTAAGTCCTCGGAGACACACCCAGCAGAGTGAGATCTGTGGCCTCCATACAACACACATTAAAATAATGAACAGTGTCTTAAGACCAGGGAAGTTATTGCGGTTCCATTAATTCTAAGGTAGAAATAAGCAAAAAAAATTCTATTGGATGTTCAAAATTTAAAGAAGAAATATTTGACTTTGCTTACCTAATTATCCAGGGAATACACAGTAGATGTAACACAGCTCTTAACTTTAAATCAACCACTGTATTCCTTGAAGCTACACCTGAATCCTAAAAGCTTCTCCTATTATTCAAAAAGGATAGGAACTTGTATAACATCCAATTTGATGAAAGAAAGGATAAAGAAAGAAAATAAAAGGAAAAAGGAGGGGTAGAGAAACCTATTGACATTTCCTGAAGATCCAGAGCAGAATTATATTAATCATCATGGACACTTGCAGCAACTTCGTAGTAAGAAGACGATGCCAGTTTAGCAAGTTGGAACAAAGTCCAGAGCCAGGAGCTAGGAGCTGCAGCCGACATGCCTTCTGCTCCAGAGGAGGAGGCGATGAGAGTGCATGGGTAATGAGATCCTTGGCTCCACAGAGCTTAGCGCTCCTGTTCAAGTTCATAATTAATTCAAAGCTTTGATAATTTCATTAGATTTCTCCTTTGCTGGCCCCATCAATAAAAGATGGCACTGAACCACACCTCCTCTGTGGCATAAACATAGGCATAGGCACAGACCAGGGAACCCTCTGCTTCATGACAGGGACAACGGCATATGGTGTTCCATGTTGTGCAGGGAGCAGTGGAAGAAACAAAGATTCGGCTAAATAAAACAGTGCAGGGGGCAACGGTAAACTAGAGCAACATACATGTATCTTCCTGGAGTTCCGTTATGGGTGATTCAGGAAAAAAGTTTGATGTGGGGGGAGGAAAAGAAGTAAAACAGTAGAAAGAATTGAGCTGTGGTGAGATCAACAAGGAACTCTACCTTCCTTTCTACAAAAATGCACCTCCCCCACAAACAATGTTTATTTCCAGGTATCATGTTGGGCTTAAAATGGATTGATCTCTATTGTTAGTAAAGAATGAGGCCTTCCCCTATGAGCTCCTCTCTTCCAAACTTGCTCCTTTCCAGTGCCTTTCCCCAACCTTAAACTAGCTAACTGACGGTTTTGCCTAGCATTAAAAACGAACAAAAACAAAACATGGATGGTTAGAAGTACCAAGGCTTGGAAGTCAAGTAAAATAAATGTCAATTACTATTCAAATCGCCATACTCACACTCCATCCAGTTCTCTTTTTAAACCCAAACACAAGAAACGTATTTCATATGATTGGCTGTCTCCCTGCATTTTATAAAATGATGATGATGACAGTGACGAGATATCTTAGATACTCAAAGATGCTCCAGGCTCACTTATTCCTAGTTGCTTTTCTGACAGAAGTAATGGATTTGAACTCACTCACCTACACTACCACTCGGTCCTCCCATGCAGTGAGCTCAAGCAGTCACTGGTGAAAAGCTTTGGGTACTCTGAAGAATCATGTAAAATCAAACACTAACCCAAGAATGTAGGGCTCAATATTAATAAATAATTAAGTTAATAGTTGTCTCAATCCTGCATTTGTAGTATATAAAGGAATTACGTTTTCCAAGGTTCTGAAGAGTGATAAATATTCAGAGTATTTAATTGATGTATAAGGGACATGTGTATCTTTTGACTTAGTGAGGAATGCCCAGCTGTTTAGTATCATATACAAGGCTCTCCATAAGCAGATTTCCATCTGGAGAGAGATCTCATTTCCTGCCTCAAATTTTATATCCTTACAACACTAACCTACTTGTGATTCCCCGAACTCATCATGTGTCTTCTTACCTCTTTCTTCCCTGGCCTGAAGTGTCTTTCTCCTTTCTCTACTACTGATCTCAGCAACTCAGCTTGGCCACTGTCCTTCCAAGAAGATTGCAATCATCTCCTCCAGCACACACATGTCCCATGCCTGCTGCCACAGCATCCTGAGCATAGCTCTGCCATGTCACCAGCCACACAATGAAATGACCTACCTCCCTGCCTTCCTGCCCCACTACAGACTGAAGTCTTCTAAGGAAGAAATCTGCTGAAGCTCATCCTAAGCTCCTACATGTTTGCTATAGATTGCTGAAATAAGTAGAATTCCCAGAAACATTCCAAGTCTACCTCTTGTACCAAGTTACTCCATGTGTCCGGCAGAATCCAAGGACTGGAAGACACAAGACTGAATCTGACCAGGCTACAACCAAGCAACAGCAATGACAGACTTCAGTCTCCCACCCAACATAAGCATCTCTTTGACATCCTATTTTGCTTCCTGTTACCTTCCTATTATGATAGAGTTACATAAATATGCGTAACATAAATAATGTTTTAAAATCTACCACTGCTATAAAACAATAGAGTTAGTTAAAAAATCTACATTACCAGGGAATATTCTGCAGCTAAGAGGATGATTTGCCTATACCAGTGATGGCGAACCTATGACACGCGTGTCAGAGGTGACACGCGACCTCATTTTTTTGGTTGATTTTTTTTTTTGTTAAATGGCATTTAAATATATAAAATAAATATCAAAAATATAAGCCTTTTTTTTTTTTACTATGGTTGCAAATATCAAAAAATTTCTATATGTGACACGGCACCAGAGTTAAGTTAGGGTTTTTCAAAATGCTGACACGCCGAGCTCAAAAGGTTCGCCATCACTGGCCTATACTGATATGAAAGCACAGTGATATTTAAAGTGGAAAAATAAGTTTCAAAACAGTGTAATTTCTTCAATATGGTTTTGTCCACACCACAAAGCAATTCTTAGACATCAGCTAGGTGTGCTACAAGTCAACACAATGTGCTACTATCTACCTGAAACTAGTGCCAGCTCCCACAGGTTAAGGGCTCAGTCCCATAAGAGTGCCCCCATTTTGGATGTCAATCACAAGTCTAAGTTGTCACCTGTGCTTCTGGCCAACTGGCTATAAATCAAAGGTTCCCACAACCCCTCCTTGAGTTTGATTAATTTGCCAGAGCAGCTCACAGAACTCAGGAAACCAGCTTCCTCACTAGATTACTGCTTTACGTAACGCACGAGAAGCCAGATGGGAGGAGGCACAGGGCAAGGCATGGGGAAGGGCACAGAGCGCTCATGCCCTCTCTGAGTGCACCACACTCAGCACCTGCAAGTGTTCACCAACCTGGAAGCTCTTGGAACCCTTCCCTCTGGGGTTTCATTACATAGACCTGGCTGATGAAGTCATCGGCCATTGGTGACTGAACCCAATCTCTAGCCCTTTTCTACTCCCCAGAGTTCTGGGAGTCAAAGGAAAAGTTCCAAACCTCTAGTCACAGGTTAGTTCCCCTTGCAAACAGTCCTATCCTTAGGTTAGCTAGGGGCTTCCCCAAAATCACCCAATTAACAACAATAAACACCACTGCCTGCTGTCTTCCCTTAGGAAATTCCAATGGTTTTAGGAGCTCTGTGCCAGGAAGTAGGATGAAGACCAAATATGTATTTCTGATTATAAATCACGACATCATATTCCTATTGTGTAAACATTTACACACACACACACATACATATACATAGGTGTGTGTAAGAAAACATCATTTTTCTAAAAGGGATTAAAAAAAAAACCCTCCAAGCCCTAACCGGTTTGGCTCAGTGGATAGAGCATCAGCCTGCAGACTGAAGGGTCCCAGGTTCGATTCCAGTCAAGGGCATGTACCTTGGTTGCGGGCACATCCCTAGTAGGGGGTGTGCAGGAGGCAGCTGATCGATGTTTCTCTCTCATTGATATTTCTAACTCTCTATCCCTCTCCCTTCCTCTCTCCAAAAACTCAATAAAATATATATATTTTTTAAAAACCCTCCTAACTATGGTTACATTTCTTGAATGGGATTGAGCAAAGGTCCTTTTTACTTTTCATTTTGTTTTCTGTCCTGTTGGGCTTTTGTTTCTAACATGTTATTTTTCTATATGTCACAAGGGTTATCTGGCCAGGGAGATGGTCAGCCATTTATTGTTTGCATTTTGAATTTGTGTTAAAATGTAATAAATATTTTATTTTAAAATGAAATTAAGATTGCAATCCCTACTTTGTACATTAGAGGTATCTCCTGTTGGCTGCCTGACAAGCTGGGGTTGCCCAGCCCCTGCACCTCACTGCCCTGGGGATGAGAGGCCACAGGAGGAGCCGAGGGCTGCTTCCAGGAGTGTCTCTAGTGCGTGAATATCTGGTTTTGAAAATAAACCAAAATCCACTATTATTTCTGTATTATAACAAACATGGCTGTTATAATACAAACCTATGAACTGAGATGGAACATGAGCCACCAAAGACAATTCTATCTGAAGGTAGAACTCTTCACATTATATGAGCAGACTCTTAAGATATGAGTTTCCTCTCCTCTGCCTACGAAAAGCCACACCTGAGACAGTTCACTGATTTTTCAATGTAGCATTTCATTGATCTCTTTCGCTAGAAACAATTTAATTACCCATTCCCCAAGTAGAATATTCCCTTCTACAAGAATGTTCCATTACAGCAAGA